TGTTTTATGTTTTTACATAAATTAGATTTTTGGTTTTGAGACCAAAAATAATGTAAAAATATAGCTGCAAGCAGCAATTACGGGGCCAAGCACTACAGAAGCAAGCATCAGACCAACTGTACAAATGAGTAATTGAAGCCATTTTAGGTTGATTTTAGTCAAACAGGCTGAAAAATCCTGAATACAAACACCAGTAATATGATTTAATGGCTTATCACGTTTTACCAACAGGTGGCGCTGTTGTCAAATCGATGTGGTGTGTTCTGTGTGAGTTGACAATGGCACACACAAAGTTTGCTGTCAATATGTCAAAGCTTTGCAGAGATACAGCCTCAGACGTAGTTTGGCATCATGCCTCAAATTTGTTGCGGCACTATGCAAAAACGGTTTTGTCTATCAACACGAAATCCATAACTTTTTGTCAGCACAGTCTGAAGATAATCTTACTCGATTTTTGTGAAAATCGGACCAACGGTCTATGAGGAGTTTGAAAAAGTAGGTTTTCAACATAAATCAAAATGTCGGACATGAAGTTTGGCAAACTATGGCAAAATTGGTATCTATGTTCTCAGCAAGACCCAAGGTGTATTTTGAGACCAGTTCTATTCCAATAGGCTAATTTGATCAAAAGTTATTAGCATTTTTGGAAATTTAATTATTAGTGGTTAATTAATGGTTTATCACTTTTGACCAATAGGTGGCGCTGTGACCATATTGATGTGGCATGGTCAGTGTGAGGTGACAATGGCACATAAAAAGTTTGGTGTCAATATCTCAAAGCTTTGCAGAGATACAGCCCCAGATGCAGCTTGGCATCATTCCAGAAAATTCGTTGATGAGTTAAGTCAGTGATTCTCAACCGGTGGGCCGGCCTTCGAGTGCCATCTGGTGGGCCGTGTAGGCAGTGGTAGACTAACCCAAATTAATTTTCATTTATTTTTTAATTGACAAATCTTGTTATTTTGTAATTATCTAATTGTTCTTATGAATTTATATGATCAAAAACACTCAAGTCAAGTCAAGATGCATTATCTAAAAGCTAATTTATATTTAAATATCGCAACACCAATCACGTCACAACGTCAGATTGAACGTTTGTTCGATCAGATGCAGTAACTACGCATAACTACGCATTACAGTATTACATACTGTAATATGGATCATTTTCTGAAAAGAAAAGCAGATTTGGGAGACAGACCTGTGCAAGCAAAAGCTTCGAAGTGTGTGGTGAGAAAATACGACGCTGAATACATTAAATTTGGTTTTATAAGGGCAGGTACTGAGATTAAGCCGAAGGCTCAGTGTGTTGAATGTGGAGAAATTTTGTCAAATGAGGCGCTAAAACCATCAAAGCTGCAGAGACATTTGAACTCAGAACACCCGGGCTGTGTTGGGAAGCCAAAAGAATATTTTCTAAGGAAAAAAGATGGGCTTCAGGCTCAACAAAAAGTCATAACATCGTTATCAACTCAATCAAAAGTCACCTTGAAAGCTAGCTATATGGTTGCCGCTCGTGTTGCTCGTAGTAAGAAAGCCTTTACTATCGCTGAGGAACTTATTTTGCCAAGTGCTGTGGATATGTGTCGAGAGTTACTGGGTGATGCAGCTGCAACTAAAATTCAGTCAATACCACTTTCCGATGACACCGTGGCTAGATTAATTGTTGACATGAGCGATGACATTGAATGCCAACTCGTGGAACGAATAAAGGCAAGCCCTTATTTTGCCATACAGCTGGACAAGTCGATGGACATAAGCAACGCCGCGTTACTGTTAGTTTTTGTCCGATACTGCATGGACAGTAATCTTTGTGAAGATCTGCTATTTTGCAAAGAACTGCCAACGAGAACAGGGGCAGATAATGTAATGCACTGCCTTGATGAGTACTTCACTGAAAAAGGTCTTGATTGGAAATACTGCTCAGGTATTTGCACAGACGGCGCGGCTGCTATGACGGGAAAACATCGCGGTGTCATTAAACAAATCCAAGAGCAAGCGCCAGCAGCAAAGTGGACGCACTGTTTCTTGGTTTCTTGCACAGGGAAAGTCTTGCAACAAAGCAGATGTCACCAGAAGATGTGGGGATGTATTATTAATTAATTTGTTAAAAGAGTGTTCCCCTTGTGTCTGACCCAGTCATTGGTCTGACCTGCCCTGTTATTGTTACAGGAATAAATGGTTACGGAGTAAACCTGCCAAGTCTTTTTTATACAAGGAGAGTTTTCATCTATATAGCTGACTTGACCTAGTCTGCTACAGTGGCATAACAGATTAACAGCAGATTATATCATTGTACTTTTTGAATTTTCTGTTATTCTGTGTTCATACTATCATATTTGGAAAGGTGGTCCTCGGAATGTTTTTAAACAGTCATTGGTGGGCCATGAGTTGCAAAAGGTTGAGAACCCCTGAGTTAAGTGATACCCGTTTCGTATATCGGCACGAAATCCATAATTTTTTGCCAGCATGGCCAAATTTGGTGAAAATTGGACCAACGGTCTAGGAGTTAAAAAAAAGTAGGTTTTTAAAGAAAATCTAAATGGCGGACAGGAAGTTTGGCTGACTAAGGAAACATTGGTATCACTGTTCTCGGCATGACCCAAGAAGTCTATTAATACCAGTCTCATTACAATAGGCAAAATTCAAAGAAAGCTATTAGCATTTATTTGAAATTTCATTATAACTTTTGACCACAAGATGGCACTGTCTCAAAACTTTTTGAGTACTTTCAGGTCATGGCCTCGATGGTACATACAAAGTTTCGTAATGGTACACCGATGCACTCGTAAAATATAGCATTTTATATCATAATACTCTTGTAGTCCATGGCAATTTCATGTTTCAAGTCGACCACACCCAAAGTTATAATCATGTGAATATTTGATTTTACCACTAAGTGGCGCTGGCTCAAAACTTCTCAGGCTCCTTCAGGGCATCGTGCTGATGACCCATACCAAGTTTCGTATTGATACGCTAAAGCGTTCTTAAAATACAGCATTTTAGTACAAATTTCAAAATGGCTGATATGGGACAATTGGATATCAATTGACTCGGCATGTTGCCCTGAATCTATTGAGACCAATTTGTGGTTTGTGGGTAAAGTGTTCAGGAGTTATAAGCAAAAACAGCAATTTTTCCTATATCCGGACTACTAGGTGGCACTGCGCTGAAACACAGCCTCAGGTCATGGTTGTTAAATCACACACCAAGTTTGGTCTCAATATGCCAAACCGTTGCAGAGATATAGCCTCACATGCATTTTTACGTGCTCTTCGTCAAATTCATTCGCGCGTTATTCGAGAACGGTTTAACTAACCAATTTGAATTCCATAACTTTTTGCCAGCATGGTCTGAAGATGATCTGAGCCAATTTTGGTGAAAATCAGACAAACCATCTAGGATGAGTTCGAAAAAGTAGGTTTTTCGAACTATTAAAAATAGAGAAAAAAACTAGACCTTACGATTTTTTAATTTTGGTGTCCATTCGACTTGGCATGAGCCAAGGATTCGGAGGAATTTTTCTTCTAGACCTTTCGGTTCAAAAGTTATTAGCATAAACATGAGTGAAACTTTGGACAAGTGGTGGCGCTAGAGAGTTTGAGTTAGAGACTCAACATTTGCTGTGGTTAATGATGATACCTCATCATTATTAGTCACTATCAGTGTGCCATATTTCATAACTTTCCCGCAAACGGTTCTATGGGCTGTAATGTCTACGTAATGTCTCGTTCCCTCCTCTCAGGGAACCACGGTTATGCTGAGTAACCAGAGACGTTTCCATCTTTTCCTTTAAAGGGGTGGTTGATTGCGATTTCACTTTTTTAACGTTAGTTAGTGTGTAATGTTGCTGTTTGAGCATAAACAATATCTGCAAAGTTGCGGCACTGAAAGTTCAATGCAAACGGAGATATCGTCTTTTAAAATTCTGGCAGTGTAATGCCTACAAAAACGGCTGGTAGGGACTACAAGTTACTTCCCGGGTTCATGACGTAACACACCCAGATAAGCCCCGCCCTCGGGAAAGGGCAGCAAAGGAGTCGAGGCCATGCTGCGCTGCTTTAGAGAAGAGGAAGAGAACACTAGGGGTGCACGTAAAAATCTATTCATATATTAATCGCGATTCGGTCTTCTAACGATTCTAATGGATTAACAAGTTTCTAAATCACGGTTCTAAAGCAGCGGTTCTTAACACTGTTCCTCGCGTCCCCCTGCTTCTTGTAGGGCTACATGAAGTGATTTCCCAGCATTTTTTGAACACTGACCAATTGCAAATGTGATATTTATTTAAAACAATTCAGTAATAAGAAGTTAGTATTGTGGTATATATTAGACAAAAACTGCATTTTTTGGTCTCTTGTTTCTCATTTTCCTCTTGACAATACCCCATAGATTCTCTATGGGGTTCAGGTCTGGTGAGTTTGCTGGCCAGTCAAGCACACCAACACCATGGTCATTTAACCAACTTTTGGTGCTTTTGGCAGTGTGGTACTTTGTCCAACTCTGCGTATATTAAAAGCTATCATAAGCAGTAGCATTTACAAATAACAGTGTATCTAAAAGTATGAGACAACAACAAACAAAAAACATAGGCCTACCATTAAAAGCCGTGCTCACACAGGTTCTGCACGATCCTCTTCAATAATATCCTCTGCTTCTCAATCAGAGAAGCGATATTAACGACGCCGTTGTTTATAATACAACCGGAGCACATGCCCCTGAGGTTAGGGGCGGGACGTTTAGACCTGCACTAGAGGCGGTTTAGCCAATCACAACACACTGGGCTAGCTAACCAATCTGAGCCCATCGCCTATTTCTGAGGGAGGGACTTCATAGCAGGAAATGATCAGTGCGTTTCTCAGAGAAGGGACAGAGCAGTGTGGAATAAAGGTAAATGATGTGAAAAATAATGATTTTTTTTAAAACTAAGCATTAACACATGTTAGACTTCACCCCATAAACACAATCAAGCCTAGAAAAAAAAACAGTGAACCACCCCTTTAATCACCTCTGTAGTCTAAAGCATCAATTTAAAAATAAAACATTTTCCTAACTGATTTTGTCTCTAGGCAAACATTTCAAAGACAAGACAGAGATTGTTCAACTTATGAGCCTATGAATTCAATGGTGAACAGACATTTATCACTTCATAAATTACAGCAATAGAAAGTAAACAGAACAGCACCCTAAAACAAGCTTAAAACTGATAAACTTCATGTAATGACTCACAGCTCTGGTGTACCATATAACATGGTCAATTAATTATTGACCTGAAGCTCAGAACACTGTCATGGTGACATTTTGCCATTCCGTGTCCAATATAATCCACAGATGCAAATGGTAAAATGGAAATATATTGCTTACAGTTACATGGCTATTATTCAGACAGATATAATTAAGTTAAAGGCACTAAAAAAATCTGATAGTGACTATAGCGTATTTTTATAAGACAAACATGTTCCACTGAACACTTAGTTTGACTGTTGTTCTATATGATTATCGATCATAAACAGACGCTTGGCAATAATTTTTGGGGTCACCAAGCAAGATGTTTGTGTGGAATCCATCTGCCTGCCTCACTTAACTTTCTCTCGTGCCCAAGCACGGCAGGAAATGGGGCTGTGATATCCACCACAGGAAGGCTACAGTTCCCGTCACAGGAAAACTGTCCATATCAGTGCGCTGAACCACTCTGTGTGCCATCCTGAAGATACAAGTAACACATTAGCTATGCAAACAAGCATGCACTTGAAAATGGCAAGAGGAAAAACAATACAGAAAACAGTGTAAAACAGGAGTAATCAAATCGAAATTCAAATAATTTGTTTCCTTAAAGGGGCTATGTATATATAGAACTCAGAAACCTTGTTATTAGTGACACCGGTGGCAGTTAAGTGAACTGCAGTCAGCAACTTATTGCTTGTGCTCGCACTCGTGCACATGTAACATCAGAATCAGAATCAGAATGAGCTTTATTGCCAGGTATGTTTACACATACGAGGAATTTGTTTTCGTGACAGAAGCTTCCACAGTGTAACAGAATGACAGTGACAGAACAAAAAACACAGATAATAAAAAATAGAACAAGTAAATAAGGAATAAAAATATATAAATTGACAGTTGTATGTGCAGGTATATTACAATAGACAGTTTTGTATGTACAGGTACTGTATATTATGTGCAAATTTGAGGTGTAGACTGAGTCCAGCAATTCGTCTCTGGTGAAACTGATTGCAGGGATATAACTAAAGACAGGACAAACTAACAAAAACATAAAAACAACTGCGGAGCACACCACGGAGGCAGCCATCAGCGTCGGCGCCATCTTACTTACTCTAAGTAAGATGGCTAACATACAAGACTAATTAGCTTCTGGGCCAAATCCTGACTGATGGCGATCCATTCTTGCCTTATTAGTTCTCGGAGCTGATCACAATTCGTGGGCTTCTGCTTGTCCACTCGCCTTTTCAGGACGGACCACAGGTTCTCTATGGTACGGAGTTGTCAATCCGGTGAGTTGTCTAGCCACGGATCCAAAAATTTCAATATAATAATTTTCGAGCCACTTTATCACTCTTGCTTGGATGGTCTCAGGATGCTTCATTGTTGGCACAACACAGGACTCATGATAGCATTCACCTTTTCTTCTCTGAACAATCGATTTTCCAGATGTCCCGAACAGTTGGAATAGAGCTTCATCAGAGAAAATAACTTTGCACCAGTCTTCTGCTGTCCAATCCTTGTACTTCCTGCAGAATTTCAGTCTGTCCTTGATGTTTTTCTTGGAGAGAAGTGGCTTCTTTGCTGCCTTCTTGACACCAGAAATCGCAACTTTTCATTTTCCGTCGGTCTTAGTACACGATGTAACTACAGAAGAGTCACGTTTTAAATAGGAAAAATATAGAAACTCTTTGGTCTTTTTTGAGCGAGATGCTAACGGTCTAATCAGATTCAATGATCTATGCTAAGCTACAGCTAAAAGTGCTACCGCCAGACCCGGAGATCAGCTGAATGGATTCGAAAATGGTAAAACTCAACTGTTTAACTCTAGGGGAGTTGGAAAATGAGCCTATTTTCAAAAATAGTGGAGTGTTCCTTTAAGTTTTGTGACAAGCTGATCACACATTGGCAATAAAAAAAGTGATAATACATGAAAATTCTTATACATAGCCCTTAAATGCATTAATTGATAAAGTACTATATTGGATTTTTATTTTCAATTTCCATTTCAATTAATGGTCATTCCGTTTTTCCTTTCCTTTAATTAATCTTTATCAATTTTTTAAATGGAATAAAGTTTTTTTTTAAACATTTTTGTGGAAACTAATACACTACCATTGAAAAGTTGGTGGAAAGTAAAAAAAAAAATTATTCAGCAAGGTGGCATTAAATTGATCAAATGTAACAGTAAAGACATTTATAATGTTACAAAATATTTCAATTTCAAATAAATGCTGTTCATCAAATTTTCTATTCATCAAAGAATTCTGAAAAATGTATTACAGTTTTCTCAAAATATTAAGAAGCAAAAACTGTTTTGCGCACCAAATCAACATTTTAGAATGATTTCTGAAGGATCATCATATGACACTGAAGACTGAAGTAATTATTTATATTTAGGTGTGCATAATGTTTAAATGTCTTTCTATGAGAGATATTTTCACAAGATGCAGTTTTTCAATTTTGCTCCCTGTACAGACTGAAATGTATGAATGAATGAATGAATGAATGATTGTAATCGTGTCTCTGTAATTTGAGTGTGAAGGTTATAAAACACACGCTCTTACTTTATGCTCATGTACTATAGGCAGCCTGGATAACAGAAGAGGATCCTGGGATTCTTTAAGCGTCACTTCTCCGAGAGGAGAAAGAGAACGAGAGGCACAGAATTCAGACCTCTGCCGCCATAGCACTGCCCCCACCAACAGCAAACTGATGATGACTAACAGTCGAAGAACAAATAAAGGTGATCAAGGGAACATCAGTCCAATTACTGTAAGCAGTGACACAGAAAGACACTTCTCAAAATGATGAATGCAAGAAGGTTGCAACAGAGAAGTTAGACCAACCAGTCAATGAGAGGAGCCATGCAAATTGTGAAGCAGGAAGTGACGTTCTTGTTTTCGACTGCAATGGATCACTGTCTGAAAATGCAAAATAAAACAGCTTATTTGTAAATTTTTAATGAAGGAAGAAACATTTCCGTTAACCAAAGCATGGCAAGCATCCTTGCCAAAAGCATGAAACTATCATGCTGATTAGAGGATTATTAGAATGCAAAATAATCTATATTCCTGTTCAGCCTATATCATGTTAATTTATTTATTAACATTTATTTTTATCGGATCCCTGTAGTTCTATGAAACACTTATTTTTAAGGACATTTTCATTTACTTTTGTACAGTAATCAATTTATTGATTTGAAACAATATGTACTAGGAAATAGGGTTGCAAAGGGGTGGAAAATTTCCGGAAACTTTCCCAAAATCCCTGGAATATTCCAAAAAATCCTAGAAAGTTTCCAAAATTTCTGGAATATTTCCTAAATTTACTGTACATTTTCCACCTTTTTGCAACCCTACTGGGAAAAGCGATATACAAATAAAACTGACTTGACAAAGTAAAAGTAAATAAAAAATTAAGAACATAATGCTATGCTGTTCTTGTCAAATCAAGAGGTGACTAGAAACCAAAATGATCTATATTCCTGTTCAACCGGTCATGTTAATCATTTAGTATTTTATCGGATCCCTGTAGTTCAATGAAATATTAATGTATTTTAATGTTTGGTTTTAAGGACATTTCCGTTTAGGTGTAGGATGATACATTTTTGTACTTGTTTTGTTACATACTTATTTAGTACTTTCTCCACTGACTGGTCTAAAACAAAGTATAAAACAAAAATACACTCCCACAAGAAACCTTTGCAAAAACCGAGCCCAAATGGTATTCACAGCAATGGTGTGACCCCACATCAAATGTAGCATCTTGGAAAGTACCTTTCACACTTTTTTCAAAACTCGCGTGACAATTCACAGCACAGATGAAGCGGCGTGTTACTGTACAGTACACAGACTCTTTGAGCTACAAAAGCAAGGAAAAGCCATTTATAGCAACTACAGTATTACATTTACCAATTGACCAGATGCAAACAAAAGTAACATGTTTATAAGGCAGGTGCTTCTCCAACAAAAGAGCAAAATAAGCGAGCTATGATCCACTTAACAGTAAATTATAACTGAGCCAGTAACTGGGAACCACAAATCTACACAGACACAAATGCTCACTAACCAAAACTAGATGAGCAAATGAATCAAGTTGTTCAGAGTAGAGATGGGTGACTCGGGAGAGAGAAACAAACCTCACCAAGAGTACAGCATGACCTGAAGTTTCATGCATACACAGAGGTACAAACACGTCATCAAATCGAAAAAAATTCATTTTACTCTCTACGCACAGATTGAAACTATGAAATCATGTTTTTGTTTTGTAGCAAATGCGATTAACCTCACATTCTTTTGAATTTGTAGGGAAAACACGTGTGGACTAATCTACTCATTCTGTTTTATTATTATTTTCCACAATTCAGAATGAAAGTCATCAGAACAAATGAAAATATGACTTCTGTAATGTCTAAACACAAATATGCAAACTACTTGGATGCTTTTTAAACAGTTTACGGAAAGATTACGGAAATGACATAATATCTTCTGCAGAGCTGCTGTATTGCGGAATCGAATCTTGCAGCATCAACACTTTTATCCAACAATGAACTGACCTGAGCTGAATAAAGACACTATGGTTTTCTGTCGAGCTGTTAATAGCGTAACTGAACTTTGAACCTTTACACTGTTATTGAACTAAACCAACAAGGAATAATGACACTATTTTCTGTTTAGAGCTGCTTTACGTCAGAATTTGAATTTGTCTGTCATTAAGTGTAATTTTCCTGTTTATTACTGTGAAGCTGCTTTGAATATTTATTAAACAGTGCATTCATGTATAACACACTTAACTTGGCTCTACCAAGAACAGAAGTTAGTTACTATATGGAACAAAAACAAGTTATGTAAGAGAACAGTGTGAATATTTTTGACTACCTGTAGGCTGTAACAGTGGATGAAGGATGACCAGTCCAGCCGGTGAAACAGAACCAAGTCTCTGAGAAACCTGGAGCATGTTGCCATTGTGCTTGTCTGCACTACAAATAGAGTTGGTCAATTGGTCACTCCAGTACACTCGACTCTGCAGGGGACATACATTAAAAATTCACTACTCCATTATCAATGCAACATCAATATTAGATTTTAATTCATGTTGTTATAAATCAATAAAAATGCTTAATATATGAATATGGATCATATTAAATATTATTAAGAGTGAAACAGGCGTGTTTTGTTTTTGTTTTATTATAAAAGTAAACTGGTCATTGGTAGGGCAATAATTATATAGAATGAAGAAAAGTGACATGCGTTGTGTTATGAACCTCAAATACTGCCAGTCCAAACGGTTGATCCAGATATCCGTTGGACTCTACAACCGTCTTTCTATGTTGTCCATCAAATGCAACCCTTGATACTGTGCGCAGACCTGAGTCAGCCCAGTACAGCAGACCACGAGTGATATCTAAATGAGGAAAGAAAAATTTTTAAAATCGGTTTATTTATTTATTGATTCTGTTAATTTCCTGTTTAATACTGTGAAGCTGCTTTCAAACCTTTATTGTATAAAGCACTATAAAAATAAAGGTGACTGGATTTCACAGTTTATCTAACTCTTATCTTGTTTTCAGGTGTATGATCCATGATTGGTTTATGGATGGGTTTGGTATAATTTATAAAAAAAAACCTTGATGCAATAAGTGATGAAGTAAAATATGGAGTGATAAAAGCAAGCTAGATTTTACAACTTAATTGCATATGAGAAGTCTGACCTAAGGAGATTGCGACAGGATAGCGTATAGATGAAGTTATCAGTGCTATTCTGCTCGTCCCATTCAAACTGGCACGCTCAATTCTGGGAGACGCCTCACTATCTGCCCAGAACACATACCTGGGAAGAAAAACAGGTTCAACTCATTCAGACAAACTCACTAAATTCATTCAAATATTATCCAACCTTAAAGCGATACTCCACACAAATAAAAATGTAATTCTCTTTTCAGTTACTCACCCTAATGCTGACCCAGATGTATATGACTTTCTTTTTTCTGTTGAACACAAACAGAGATTTTTACAAAAAGAATCCATCTCTGAGTACATAAAATGAATTTGATGGGTAACTCAAAATTGAGGCTTCAAAAACCATGCAAAAGAACATGACGGTAGTCCATACAACCTTAGTTGATGAATCAATGTCTTCTGAAGCAAAACAGTAGGTGTGTGAGAAAAATACTAATAATGCTTGATGTAACGATAAACTCACGCATGAAGTGACAGTCCTCTGTGCTTCTGCATTACTTCTTCATAACACGCTTTCGTCATACTTCAAAATGTGCTGATGTTACGTCAAGAATGCATTCATAAATCTGCATTTGAAACAATGGTTTATAGTTAAAAAAAAAAAAGTTTAAAACATTAATATAAGACATTGATTCATCAGCTAAGGTCGAATGGATTACCATCATGTTCGTTTTACATGGTTTTTGAAGTGTCAACATTAAGGGACCCATGAACTCGCGTTATATAGAATCACAGAGATGCATTATTTTTCGAAAAATCTCTATGTTCCACTGAAGAAAGAAGGTCATTTACATCAAGACAGCCTGAGGCTGAGTAAATGATGAGAGAATTTTCATTTTTTGTGTGGAGTACCCATTTAAAGACAACAAGAAATCGATATTGGTCATATCTTTCCTGAATAAATGTTCTTGCTCTTATTGTACACAATTCATCACACTGGCATTAAAGGACAAATGTTTTCTTTATTATTATTAATCAAAATATTAGCACTTGTCACATTACACGTCAAATGTATGTGACTATCAACTATATAGAGATGAAGACACAGTATTTTTACCCTAGCAGCGGCTGGACAGCAACTGCAGTAGGTCTGGAGAGCCCAGAGATGAGCTCACTTTGTTTGGAGCCATTCAGAGAAGCCACGTGTAAAGCATGAGTGTCGGTGCTGACCCAGTACAGAAGCTCATGGATCCAGTCTACCGCCAATCCCAGAACGCCTATGGAAGCCTTTAACAACACAGCTGGTCTATGGTCACTGGAGTCTAAAGACACCCTGAAATAGACAAATATGTTTTGTGTTGGAACGATTTTTAAGCATTTAAGCATTAATTATATTAATGGGCAAAATTTTCTATTTAATTTATATGGCTCTGCACCTGTAGATGATGTCATTCTCAGGACTGGTCCAATATAACGTGTTCTTTGCATTAAGTGCTGAAACAGGTCCTGGTGAGGCTCTTTTATTTGTGATGTTTCTTTGCTCAGAGACGCTGAGGTCCATCCATTTAACACCCTCGTGAGTGCTGACCGCCACATGAACAGCAACACCTGTACCAGACAAATCAGTGTCACTATTGTTTACTAAAACTATTCAAAATCCTTTTTGTTCACTGAATTAAAGCTGAAATAAATGTAAAATAAAAGATAAATATTAGATAATTAGAATATTAAAACTTAAATTAAAAACAGAAATGTGGCCTTGGAAACTAATTAAAATAAGATACTATTACTTCAAACCGAATTTAAAAAAAAGATAAACTAAATAGAAATATTAGGAAACAAAATCGAATAATAATGACAAAAGCGAAACAAAATCGAATAATAATGACAAAAGCAAATACCAAAACTTAAACTAAAAGCAATTTCAAAATATGAATAAATACTATAATGTAAAATAATAATATTAAATTGACACTGACACAAGTATACACACAAAATATTCAAGATATGCAATCTTGACTGTCTGTGTCTTTACGGGCCAATTACATCGAAATCTTCCTCTCACCTGTAGCCTTGCACTGTCCAGTCCCAGCGGTCAGCACATACCCATCCTGACATTCACACGCAAGAGATCCATTGGTACGGACACAAATTTGATCACACTCATCTGAATCAAGACAGTGGTCCACATCTAGAAGTGAAAAAGTGAGTATTTGAGTGGAAAAGTTAAATCTATTATGACACTTTTAAAAGATAATACATGTTTTGTGTGTTTTTGAAGACAACTGTGATTTATTGTGGTAAACTATAGCATAACCAAAAGAGTAAAGCAGGACAAGCTAATTTTATGACATTTAAACGAGTATTCAGTAAATGTTTCCATATTAACACACAAAGAAATGATCGGTTTCATCTCACAAGGAGCCTGTCGCCTCACAGGGGCAGACATGTTTAGATCATATGAGCTGCTGAATACTACTACGTTTGTACACTACATGGAAAAAAAATGTATGATCACTGACTGTTCTACTGCGCTATTTCTACAACAACACTGTAACTGGTTTACATTGGACCATGCAATCATTTAAGCAGTTGACCAGTGTGACTAAATTCTCACCCTGACAATGTGTGTCCTGGACCAGCCTCATTCCACTGGGGCAGTCACACATGAAACCAAGGGGTAGATCAATACACAGGTGAGAGCAGCCACCGTTATCGATGTCACATTCGTTGTCATCTACAGAAACAGAGAAATAAAGACAAATAGTGAATTTATCTACATTTTTTCTCTACATCTTTCTCTGCATGCTATTTTTAATTCATATATATATATATATATATATATATATAATTAATACACTGCTGTTCAAAAGTTTGGAATCAGTAAGATTTTTTTATGTTTTTTAAAGACGTCTCTTCTGCTCATCATGGCTGCATTTATTTGATCAGAAATACAGAAAAGAAAACTGTAATATTGTGAAATATTATTGCAATTTAAAATAATGGTTTTCTATTTTAATATACTTTAAAATATAATTTATTGCTGATCAAACCTGAATTTTCAGCATCATTACTCCAGTCTTCAGTGTCACATGATCATTCTAGTATGCTGATTTAATATCAATATTGGAAACAGTTTTGCTGCTTCATATATTATTTTTTTGGAACCTGGTATATTTTTTTCAGGATTCTTTGATGAATAAAAGAACAGCATTTATTCAAAATGGAAATCCTTTGTAACAATATACACTACCGTTCAAAAGTTTGGGGTCAGTAATTTTTTTCTTTTTTCTTTGTTTGAAAGAAATGAATGCTTTTATTTAGCAAGGATGTGTTAAATTGATAAAAAGTGATAATAAAGACTTAATTTGTTATTAAAGATTTTTATTTTAAATAAACGCTGTTCTTTTTAACTTCATTCATCAAATAATCCTAAAAAAAGTATCACAGGTTCCAAAAAAATATTAAGCAACATTAATAAATCAGCATATTAGAATGATTTCTGAAGGATCGTGTGACACTTTATACTGGAGTAATGGCTGATGGAAATTCAGCTTTGCATCACAGAAATAAATTATATTTTAAAGTATATTATTTTATCATATTACTGTTTGTTTTTTTGGCTAACTTTTGAACAGCAGTGTGTGTGTGTGTGTACATATATATATATATTTCCCCGCCTCTGGTCTACTACGCATCCCTGCCTCTGCTGAATTATTTTCATCTCCGGTAGCGCCGAAGTCCAGATCTGAATCAAATGACTCGCGATACGCGCTTTGAAGTCCCGATCTGAATCAAATGACTCGCGATACGCGCTTTGAAGTCCCAATCTGAATCAAATGATTCGTGATACGCGAACCGATTGGAGCAATTCAAAATAGTGAATCATTTTGCGACGCAATGGTTTAACTGATTCGGAGTTTCAGAAAGCTCCGTTGATACTGTAAAATGTATGTTCTTTGCTCACTTTCCTATATAATTTATTCGTTGTTTGAATAACCGTTGAAATTAATTAAATTGCGTTAATATATATATACCACAGTTCTCTTCATCGCTGCCATCTTCACAGTCTTTGATGTTGTCACACCTCCCAGAATTGGGCACACAGCGTCCATTCGTGCACCTGAACTGTGACCTAGCGCATGTCGGTGCGCATGTGTTGAACTGTTCATCTGCTCCATCAGAGCAGTCAGGCCTGCCATCACAGACGCTACGGGAAGGAACGCAGCGCGCTGCTGCCACACAGTGGAAGGAGCCACTAGTGCAATTCAAACAGGAGATCTCATCGCTGCTGTCTCCACATTCATCCACACCATCACAGCGAAGATTCAGAGGCACACATCTGCCATTATTACACACAAACTGCTCTGTACCGCACGTTGGAAAACCTGCGAAAGATGAGAGTAAAAACAGCTCTTTAGTTCTGAGAGATTTTGAAAACGGTGAAGGACAGTTTGAGCAGCAGGAATAACCTACATGTGGCTTTAGCACAGAAACAAGACAACATTCTCTATTAATAGTATGTAGCTGGACTACATTTGATCAAATTAAGTAGGTAAATATAATCTGGGACATATTTTGCAGTTTTGACATCAGCATTTGCTGTAATATCATAGTTGCCAAATTGCAAAATTTAACATTGCAATAATATCAAAATAAAGGGGAAAAAAACATTATGTTCATAATTATGAATCATAATTTGTAACAAGAGCACAAACTTAGATTTATTCTGTGATATGTTTATGCTTTCCCAAAAGATAAAAAGCATTTGATGTGGGAACCTGTAAAAGGTTTTTTTAATGAGTTCCTTCCTACATCTCAACAATAGCCCTGCTTCCCTCAGTCACATCAGTGAACACATGTGATCTCGGTCACATGTAAGATGATGAAAGAAGACTTGTTTGATAGAGCAAGAAATGCATGCATAAGAGTTTAAATGTCCCACATGAACAGTACAATACTGTATGGCAAAAAGTATGCAGACACTCCATATAAAATCAAAGGGTTTGACTATTCCAGAGAAAGCTAATTTTAATGCTATACCATACAATGACATTCTAGAGAATTCTATGGTTCCAACTTTGCTGCAACAATTTGAGGGGGTCATTTTCTGTTCCAAAATGACAGCAAATAAAACAAGGTTCATAAAGAAATGTGTGGAAGTCCAGACCTGAACACCTATTGAGCATCTTTGTGATGGAAGCTACAAAAAAAGTTGATTTCTGACTCACAAAACGATGAAGTTCAGTTTTGACCCATTATAAGTCCCCATATGTATAACCATAATTGTACTTATTTTTAAGAGACAAACATTGACTGAAATAATATTTATATGAATTAATTAAATTTTTTAACACTTCTTTGACCTTTCAGTAATGCCTAAACTGGGAAAACAAAGTAATAAATAACTGTAAATATAAAAGAAGCAGAGCAACAGGCTAGGGATTTTCAGGTACCCGGCAAATGCATATATATATATATATATATATACTGGTAAAAAATATATATATGTGTATGTTTTTTTGTGTGAATAACAATCTGAAGTCAAACCATTTTATATAATTGTATAACATGTTAGGTTATGTCTGTGAATCCGCAAGAATTTTCTGCATAAATTTGACCTACACTGAAATCAGAATCATATTCATCCAAATCCAATAAATTAAGAGAACGCATTTAAACTAAAAATTTAAATATTAAGTAGATTAAAATAATATCTTTATGATGGTATACGCAAAATTATTAAGGTCTCACAAACTTTCTAGCGTCACTGTATGAACAGCGGTCTATTATCTCACGCGTGCACGTGGAAACTCCTTTGACACAATACAAAGGAAGTGCAAAATGAAATCTAGTGACAATACGGTTTTTTAAGTTAATTTCGTCCATGTTAAAGTGCATGTGCTTGATAGTAATATCGCAAGTTCTATTGTTACATTTATACTGCACGTGGAAAATGGGAACATTAAGTTTGACAGCTGCATGTGTGTCATTCGATCCAATCAGATGGCGTGAGAGCGCAGCGTGCAGCGTGAGGTCCAATAGGAAAGTGAGAACGCTACCGACGCGTTCAGACCTTTTTATACAGTCTATGGTTCAGACACATTAGACGCATGCATTTATTATCCTTTGTCCACACAGATTTACAAACCATCCCTTACCTTCTGTTAAATTTAATCGTGACACACACGTCCACAGCAGTAGTAACACACCAAGGTGTTCCATGCCTTGCCCGGTGTCCTGTCCTCTGTCTAAAAGATGCGCGCTTGTCGCAAGGCAATGACGTCATTTCCGCATTACAGTATATGTAATCACCTGTTTTTATACAGTCTATGGTAATCACCCCAAAAATTAAAAAGTCGACCCCAGAAAGTGTTGTGATACTAAGCCACACTTTAAAATGTATGAAGGTCGTTGTATTTTATAACAGAATATCAAATCAAATGGATAGCTATTTTTAATAGCTACAGATGGCAAAAGCTCACCTTTTTTTAAGTAAAATATTTCACAAAAATAAATTAGTTTGGTTTTAAATTGTAAAACAATAGATATACTGTTAAAATCACCTTTGGTTATACTCTGCTAGGAACCCTTTGTGAACTTAATTCAGTCATTTACAAATCTTTCCACTTATGTCTAGTAATTCATCCTTCATTAGCCTATTTATATGCATGTATATGTATGCATGCATATGTGTCCCTTTTCAATTTGCACAACATTTGTGCAGTCCTTACACAATTGTTCATTAATATTGCACATTTCAGAGTCTCTCTCTCTCTCTCTCTCTCTGTTTTGTGTTTTTGTATTTACTGCCATCGCTACTCTGTTCCTATTCCTATCTGTTTATTGCAGAGATGCCCCAATGTTTACATTGAACGGACTTTATACATCTATTAAAAATGAACTTTTTTTTAATAGCGAGCATTTTAACATGCTTCTTTATTTTTTTTAAGTGGTGAGTGAGGACAAAATAATTTCCCCACGATAAATGACGCCTATGATCTATGGGCTAGTGATGCTTTGTGAGGAAAATGTCTTCAGACTTATCTGTTGTGTAATATGTAATTACGTATGTGCGTTGACCTATATATTACATGACTACCGACATTCCGCATAGAGGAGAAACAATAATGTACAGTATGTGGAAAATAATGTGTTTTTTTAACTTTAAACCGCATAAACACATTTCATTACACCAAATACACAAAATAATGTTCTTTTTAGCAGCATCATATGACCCCTTTAACTCCGTTGAGTAACATAGATCCAGACTTTCAACCTATATGTTAGCCCCACAGACCACACAAAAACACCGTTGACACAGGAAATTACTCATCTCCTTTCTCTTAGCAAATGCACATCAATGAAACATGGAAGCCTTATCACAATTCCTGATGTTATCATTAGGGAATATCCTGTCATTTTCCTTTTTTCAATAAAATGCGCAGCATAAAAGTATTAACACGATGATGACTGATGACACGCTGACATCTTTGCATTTAAATCCATGCGTTCTTTCATAGCAGCCTTTGCTCGCTATAGTCCCAAGCTCACGTTAAAAGAGTTTTGTGTTTTGTAACGTGCCTCGGCGGCCAATAGATTCGCTCGCTGATGCGCACGTGATGCTATTTTTACGTAACACACAGACAAAACGACTGTATGTTCAGGAGCGCGAGTCACTACTCACCAGTGTTGGGGAAAGTTACTTTTAAAAGTAATGCATTACAATCTTTCTCGTCCATCTCTGTTGTGCTGTGCTTTGCATGCAATTGTTTTTTTAAATTTGAAGTGGTGTTTTTTGCAGTTGACAAGAGTTTTTCACCTACACATAATCTACACTTAACGACAATCCCCTTCTCCCTTTCTTCGACGAGTTCAAAATAATTAGAATACTTCCATCGCAGAAATGTAAAGCTCTGACCTGCCATCTCCGTTTCTGACTATGTCTGTTCCCGCGCACGCATTGAGTGCGTGATTCTACGTGATTACGTTCATTTTAATTAAGTAATTACATTTTTTTTTAAAGCAAATTAATTAAACTGAAAAAAGTAACTCGCGTTACTTTTTTAAAAAAGTAACTCGAATATTCATGTGTAAATTTATAAAGTAATGCGTTACTTTACTAGTTACTTCAGAAAAGTAATATTATTACGTAACGCACGTTACTTGTAACGCGTTACCCCCAACACTGCTACTCACTAGGTTATCCTGAACCTATAACTGTAAGAATGCTTTGACATTTTTGTATTTATTATTTTTGTGGCGTATCTGTGAGTTGTCACACACAGGCATGTCCTTGCAAAGACTAGACCAAGAATATGCTTGGAAGGAAAGGGGAAGATTTTTTATAGCACCTGAAACAGAAGGCGACTGGGACGAGGAAGACCACGTCGATCACCGTCAACTTGTTTTATCCAAAGCTGACGCTTTAGCGTCGGAAAATCGTCTTAAAGAGGCTGTCGATATGTTTTCCATGGCTCTCCGATATGGTCCGGTCCGGCCTGTGGCTGTTTAGTCCGGCCTGAGCTGTTTAGTCGGATGCGTTCTGCGCAACTTCAAGAAGAAATCAGAAGAGTCCTCAGCAAAAAGTGAGCCTAACTGGACTCAGGATTGTGAATTCGACTGCCCTGGCTGTCATAGTTTCATAGCCAAGCCCGTGACGGTGACCTGTGGACATACGTATTACAGCATAGCACTTTTTCTAAATGTAAACTGTGCAGCGATGACATTAGGAAGAGGCCCGGGGAACCCCAACTGAATGTGATCCTATGTGGACTTTTAGAGAAGTGGTTCCCTGAAGACGTGAATAGAACTAAATGTTTAGGGGAAGCTGAAAGCCTATTGAAGAGTAAATGCTACGGCAATGCTATTGCACTAACCAATCAATTATTAGAATCTGGTAAATTCGCATCCTTCACTGTGTCTAAATATATTTACTAATCTGACAACAATGCCATGACCAAGGTTACTAGGTCAGAACACCGTCGCCACGTCTTATATTGTTTATCAAAAGGGTACGAGGTAGACAGAGCTCCACTGACCAACATTTGGATTGACAGCCGTAATTTATGTATTAGCCCCGCCCTCAGCGATCATGTAACTGGCGAGCGCCCGTATTACAAAACGCGTTCGCAGGGCGCATGCGCAATCGGCACGCGTTGTGTAAGGCAGGTCGTGTCACAAAGTGTTTTGTAATCTGAGACAAACTGAGTTTGATAATAACAAGTTGAACAGTATGTAATAGCCACAATGTTCAGGTGTCTGTTCAATAGAGAGATGCCTAAAGGTTGTCTAATGTCCTGTCCTGTTGCCTAAATACTAAAAATGCATTTGTTAAGTAACAGCTGGAATTTGAAAAGGCTGCGATGTCATAATAGGGAAAATGGTCATTTATAGGCTACATTCCCCCGGTTTCACAGACAAGACTTAAACTAGTCCCAGACTAAAATGCATGTTTGAGCTGTCTCAACTGAAAATATCTTGCTCTGACATATCTTAAAATATGTCAGTGTCATTGTTCTGTGTCAAGATGCACACCTGTAATGTTTTCTTCTATGGCATTTTTGTAAAAGTTGCTTAAATATCTTAATTTAACTAAGACCTAGTCCTGGTTTAAGCTAAGCCCCGTTTGTGAAACCGGGCCTTAATGTATTTTATCCGAAAATTTCATATTTATATATATATACAAATATGACACCCATTTTATTTTATTTTTTCTTGATCATAGATGGCACAGAATATCATCTCAACACATTTACTGTAATGAATGGCTACACAAATTGTGTCTTTTCATCTGAAAATCAAAGTTTGTGAACACATTAATGTTTCTATATTTTGTGTAAAATTTAAGTTTTTATAGTTTTTTTTATTGAAGTGTAAATATAAAATTAGACCAAAGCATTGGCACAGAAGGCCCCGTTTTTACCCGTTGCATATTGTTACTAGTATTATTATTTTTAAATCTTATACTTATTGTAATTCATGTGGCTATTATTCAATAATTTCCTAAATTACATTTACATTTCAGACATTTTCACTTTTCATTAAAACCTATAGACGAATTGTTTGAAATCATTTAGTCTGATTTATTAGTGTTGCTATTATAATATGTTCAATTAAAATATGGGCAATTATGTAAATATTTTATGCCTGTATATAAGTCATAGAACAAATGTACCTTTTCAGATGAATCCCTTTTACTGGGATTCTGCTTTGTCTGTCATGGGTTATTCAGTGATGTAATTAAACTATCAAAGCACAATTTTAAAGATTAGTTGATTTAGTATTTTATATTAATGACACTTTAAAATATCTATAAATATTAATACGAGTGATATCAAAGGTCATTTATACATTCTGTAAAAGTTTAGTAAACGTTTTTCATTTACATTCTGTATAATGAGAGGGCCAACTTTAGGGTTGGGCCGATAGACGATGCCATCGTCCATTGCCGATTGCTGATAGACATCACGATGTTGAGCACCACGATTTTCTCTCGCAGTATATCATTGGGTAATTATACTACATATATTTCGGGCATCAGGGAGCCGCTATTATACCTGGCATTGAAACTGCTTTTGAATGCACGAACACTTTTTATTTTCACTTTCACTTTCGACATTCACGATCGCACGTACTCTGTTTATACTATGGAGCAGCAGTACTTACCACACATTTTACAAGATTAGATGTTTGTCAGTGGTGCTCAGGATCTGCAAATCATTCGCCATCGTCCTCAATCATCTCTCCTTACTCTGTTTATGTGATAAATTAAATTTTATGTACTGTAATGTAACAGGCACACCGAGTCTACACCGGACGCGACAGTTGTCGTGTCGCGCCGTGCTGTGCCGCATATCTGGCTGCGTCTCAATCAGCTCCCTAGCTCCCGAGCTCGTAGATCGTGTACACGAATTCGGGTACTGGTAAGTTCCCTGACTCACTGCACGTTGGGACAGTGATCACTCGAATTCCAGTGACATGATTACGTACAGCGTCAACGGACAACATAGTAGAACGTCACCGCTTGAATTAATAAACAACAGACAGAACCGATCTCTTTTTGATATTATTTTCTATTCTCTTTAAACACATCGTTCTGTTACATGTTCTTACAACATTTCAGCCGAATATTAATTATAAATGTTAAATAAATGTGTTCATTACCTGTCTAGCGATGTGCATAAATGTTGAAATATATACGAATTATGTTGAAAAAAACGGTTTGTCTTTTCAAATTTACTATAGGGTGTCATTATATTTATCGAGTTGGCTCATG